CGTAACCTAACCAGCCTGTCTTTGGAAGGTGGGAGGAAACCAGAGCACCTGCAGGAAACCCGTGTGGGCCTGGCCAGAACATGCAAAGTTGCAGAGATGAAGCCCTGTCCAGAATCCAGCCCAGGATTAGCTTTGCTAACTGCCCTGCCAGTGTGCCTGTTTTTCCTGATCAGGCAGCTGTCCATGTGGCAGACAGTGGTGCATCAGTGTCCTGAACCCAGACAATGAAACACCCTCAGGTTCAAGGAGCACCGGAAGGGGAAACTGGGGTATTCTTTTCTCTGAATGTGCTGTGTGCAAGCGTGCTGGTACTATCTGCACTGCAACTGCCTCGTGTGCCCCGAAAACAAAAAATAGAGAGCAATCAATAGCAATGCAAATGCAGAATTAGATATTGGATCCAAGTCTTGTGTGGTATGGTGGTGCAGTGGCCAGCATTGCTGCCTCACAGTCCTGGGGTCCTGGGTTCAGTTCTGGACATGGGGTGCTGTCTGTGTGGAGTCTGCATGTTCTCCCTGTGTTTGTGTGGTTTTCCTCGCGGTGCTCTGGTTTCCTCCCACAGTCCACAGCTAGGTAAGTTAATTGGCTTCTGGGAAAATCAGCCCGGGTGTGAGTGTGTTTCCTGTGATGGACTGGTGTCCTGTCCAGGGTGTACCCCGCCTTAAGCCCACTGCTTGTCAGGAAAGACTCCAGCTCCCCAGTGGCACTGTTTTGGATGAATCGATTAAGAAAATGGATGGATGAAGATCAAAGTCTAAAAAATCCTCAGTGGTGCAGATAATGTCACCCAGGGGGACTCACACTGTCGCGAAACAGGGACATGGGGTCACTAATATAAAGTAAGAGGGAGTTACACAAAGAGTTGTGGGTGTCTGGAACAGCTAGGTGGTCAATGTCCACACTCTGGGCTGAGGTTTTAGACACTCTCCTCCAGACCGATGGAAAAAGGAGGAGAGTGCGTCTCTCACAAAGTTCCTTGCAGTTCCTGGGAAGTCGCAGGAGGGCACTGTTTTGCTGGGCGTAGGGAGAGCCCTTGTAGATGATTCTGAACTGGACACTGCCTCTCGGAGAGTCCCGGGTTAG